AGTATGGAATCATAGGGGATACGTTCTAAGGTTCCAAAATAAAACCAATATGCATCAAAATAAAATAAATGTATTGATAAATTCGCAATTAAAATTAATGGTTCTGATCTGCCTTTTTAAATTAGTTCACTCGGTTACATCTTTTATAAAAGCTGCCTTGGCACGTACCACCACACCAGTACATGCTCAAAAGATGCCGATCCATTAAGAGGATTCAGTAGTACACGCGCCGTAGAGTGCTTATCGGCTGTAGATATAATGAGTTTAATACTTGGAACAGAGGTTTGCAATTTTGTAGTAAGATAGATAAAGCCTGTCGAAGGCCATTTTTTATTTTTTTAATTTCTATTGCAAATACGTGTCCTACAAGAAGCATCAACTTTAAGCACTTGTAAAAGCTTTTTTAATGACCATATTATTGAAAACCAAAAACGTACCGAGTTAGTGTACACCTTTGTCTGTTACCATTCAAAAAAATCACGCAGTGTTAAATCGCAATGTTTAGAATAGGAACCATGTTTTCGGAAAAATTCACACTAGGTACGAGCGGTCTATCGCGGTCAATCCCCTTAATAAATGACACCGACTCCTTTTCTGTGTGCCTATTGCATCCGTGAATAATAAAAGTTTTAGCCGCGAATACACGAACTGGGTGGCAATTTTTTCACCCACAAATAAGGAAACCGTGAATAAGGAACTTTTACTGTATACTGTTTTTTCCAGGGTGGCGGTAAAATAATGAAACAAGTTTATGTTTTTTGTTACGTTTCGGTTTATTCAACTATCTTTAGACTGAAAGAAATTTTTTTTTAATATATTTCTACTAGGTTAGGTACTATACATTTGTTTGTAAAATAGAAATAGTACTTAACAACAGAATCTATATTATAGATTAGGTTCTAATGTGAGTACTCTTTTGAAACTGGTTTACTAACCGAAACGACCGTCAAAAATTGAAATAAAATTGTGAAACGAACACAAACAAATTCACGTTTGTTGTTAAGATGTTTCGCCAAATGATCATTGCATTTCCAATACATTTTAAAGTGCTCTATGAAGTAACTATAAATGAAGCATTCGTTATCTAAGGCAGTCTTTTGTAATAACTATGCTGTATTGATGTACTTCAATATTTTTTTGCAGATTACGAATTGGAAGGAGATGATGTCTGTCCAGGTAAGATAGAAAGCAAATTCTCTGACGTTTATAAAAAACGGAAAAAACTTTGACAATAGTTCAACTAAAAGTAAAATAAAGAATAAAGAAACAGTAAACCCTTTTTAACAAAATGGAGGAGTAAAATGTATGAACAATAACTTAACAAATATCTTTCTGCCAACAGAAGTTGTACAACCAGACTTAAAGAAGGAACCCAGTGTCATATTAAGAAAATAATGATATCAGTGTTCATGGAACAGTATAAAGTACGTAAACCAAATCATATGAAGACATAACATTTCAAATAATTAGATACCATTTTTTCCCTTTATTACGTGTAGCAATCAGAGACAAAACGGGTGAAATAAACTTTATCATCATTATCATCATAATGTTGTCAGTCCTAAGACTAGTTGGACACCACCTCCACTTTTCCCTATACTGAGAAAATCTTCGTATTTCCCTAAAACTAGAATAATTTGTGACCAGTAATCTAATCTAGGTCTACCTCTAGTACTCTTAACTCCTTTGTCTGCTTCTAATATGTCTCTAACAATCCCTACGTGCCTGAGAAGGTGTCCTACCTAACCTAACCCAACCTAATCGACCTATTTCGCCTATTTCTAGTGGACTTCCATAGTAACATCTGTTTCGAACGCTTCTAAATTTTGTGTGGTAAATAGATGTATTTCACCCTTTTTTGGGTCTGATTGTTCCGTTTTTCAAGTAAAACCTCATCTAAAATGCTTTTCTTAGAGATTTATATAACTTACGAAGACAAACGCAATGACAACAACAGCTTTTTTAGTATAAAATGTTAATTACTTTAAGTTGTATTTACAAAATAGGATTATATCTTTAAATTAAATACTCAGATTTTTTAAATGAAATTAACTTTATTCTTAAATGACAAGGTGATGGTGAATTGTAAAAGTTTAAATAAAGAATCAATAGCTTCAATTGAAAGTTGTTATTAGTCCTAATCTAATTTCATTTAAAGAATGGTTGAGCGTTACGTTCAACTGAGCTGTGTTTCCTTAATGTACATTTGATAATTTTTATTTCGAATCGTTTAAGACAATGAAATGATAAAGTTATCAAACTGCCTGTACGCCTTCGGTTAATTAAACTAAAAAAAAAGTATGCCCTTTTTCTCGGAATAGCATTAATAATCTTCTGTAAAGAATTCAGACTCATAATCTTTAGACACGATAAAAAATTTATGTAGATCGTTTATCTTGTCATTTACGTGGAATGTGGAAGTTTTTTTATAACTTTATTAGAAATTTCAATAAGAATCTAAGAATACCTTGTGTATGCGTTTTGTTTAATATAATATAACATTGAATCAAATCATTAGATACTGTTCGTTTCAAGAAGTTGGAGATATGCCCCTTCCCGTTATTAGGATGCGCCGTAGCATAATTCCAAATTCAATCATATTTGTCTGTGGAGCTCATTTCTCCACCGATCATTGAGCGAGAACTAGACAAATGTGTACAGTACCATTTGCAAAATTATTTAAACTGCCTCGTTAAAATTTAAAAACTATTTCTGTCTTGCTCACGCCTAGTGTGTGTTCTTTCTATATTCGCGCAGATTTCTTCAATTTCACAAGTTCAGTGTAATGCACGGAGTATTTTTGTGGCAAAACTTTTTGAAGTGAAACTTCTTTACGCACGGTAGGGTAAGTTCCTTCATGCGAGTTGCTATGTAACGAAATCATGCAACACATTTCCCCCGCTGTCTGTCCCTATGTATTCTTAGATCTTTAAAGCTACGCAACGTATGTTAATGTGTTTTTTTTTAAGAGGAAGGTTTATATGTATAATACATGCAGAATATATTAGAGAAACACTGATAGTTTAAAGGTTTCTAATGTGATGTCGTAAATAAACACATTTTTTTGCGCTTACATTGCAAACGCTGGCTGAACCCTACGAGATAGATCAAAATAATGTACTACAGTTTTGTACACCTTAAAAAGGTAATAACCATTTCTTATCCTTAACTTTTTACGAGAAATAATGGCTTATTTACGAAGCGATTTTAAGCAATACAGCATTAATCCTTATCCAATTAAGTACTTTTAAATACATTGTGCATATATATGGCCCTTTACAGCATGTAATTTAAATGAATATTTTCGAAGATAATACAGACTTAAAATGCAGGGACATAGCGGTTGCGGCGGTACCGGCCGGTTAGTGTTGTCTAATTATAAATAAGCTGTGATCCGTCAAATGGGTGGAGCCTAAAAACATGACGCCGATTAGGGAAAATTTATCGTAGTTCCTATAGTGTACCGTGCAATTTCCAAGTTTTTAAATTACGATAAAATGATAAGTATTGAAACCATCTTCCTTCATTTTTTCTTAACAATACACACCCTTCTGATTGTGTTCGTTTTTTGGTGAAAATTTCACTCCCCTGCCGTATTTCCCCTGCCTCATAATATGCCAAGGGAGAGACCATAAGTCCAGGGTAGATACGGAAGTGGGATAAAACTGGCGCCTGCATACGGCCTTTCTTGTTTCTTTAGGTCATGGCTCCATGAACACAACAAACCCGTGAACGACGTCTCGAAAAAAAGCGTTTGGCAGAAAGACTGCGATACCAACGCATAAAAAATGATCCCGAAAGTTATTCGCAACAAAAGGAAAAAGACAAGAAGAAATATGAAANCCTCGAGATTTAATTTCAGAGTTGGAAAGTAAAATAGAAATTTTTCTTCGGCACGAGTTCAATATAGTGCATCAATATATGGCTGTAAAATCAAAAAAGAAAACCCTGACAGAGTAAGATGCTATTAATCACCTTGACTTTAGTGAAAATTATCAAACTAAATACGCTGAAGAAGTGCAATCATTTCATTTTGGAGGATCGAGAGAACAACTGAGCATCCATACGGTGATGGTTTACACCAAATAAAAGGATGGTGAGTTAAAATGCTCTTGTTATTGCACATTATCAAAAAATTTGTCACACACACCATCAGCAATTTGGGCACATTTACAGCTTATACTCGACAACCTTCCTAAATAAATTGAAAATTTGCATTTCCTAAGTGATGGACCGGTCACACAATACCGTAATAAAATTATGTTTCATACATTCGCAACAATATTGCAAGATTTTTTTCCAAATCTCGTAAATTTCACATGGAATTACCACGAGGTCGGTCACAGCAAGGGTGCTCCTCATGGAGTAGGTGCGACATGCAAAAGGACCGCGGATAGCCTTGTTGCAACTGGTAACGACGTTTCGTCGCTGGAAGATTTGACGAACGCCCTCCAGAAAAACTGTCCCAATATAAGTTTTGACCATTGATGACGAAAATATTTCAAATAAAGAAGTAGAACTTGAAGCAACCGGAAATTTAAAAGCTTTCTCAGGCACTATGAAGGTCAGTCAAGCTACAGGAAGTATATTTCGTCCCAATGACTTGACAATGAAGAGCTTAAGCTGTTTCTGTGATCGTGAGGTCTGCAATCATGTTGTGCTCGGTACTCTAGATTTTGTTACCATTAATGCGAAACCGCGCCTGCATATTGATGATGTGTATGGGCCTGAAACTGAATCCAACGACGAACCACTAGCGTCACTAATCTAAATATCTAAATATATATATAAAATGCTAATGTGCGTACGTAAAGACAGGGTTTTCTCTATCACCACCAACTCCTATCAACTTCCCGTTGGGGTGATAAATACCCCTTGGTCTCCTGCTTAATGTAAGAGAGATGAAATGATAAAGTTATTAAACCGCCTGTACACCTTCGGTTAATTAAACTAAAAAAAAAAGTACGTGTAGCGTTGAAGATAGAAGATTTTGGTAATTGGTTCACAGTGTTTATTTAAACAAAACAAAAATGTAAAAATATAAAACTCAGAAACGTAGAAATTAAAATAACGAAGAAATCTGTTCAGACACGCAAGTGAACACGCGGATGTCTATTTAATCACTAACTATAAACTTTGGAAAAAATTAAAAGTATATTCGCACCCCGTCGCTGTTTATCCACCTAGCAAGCCGCCAAAGGATACCGCATTTATTCACGCATCGGCATCACACACACGCTCGCGATCAGAAGGAGCCGCTAAATACAGGGTGGCGCACGTTACATACGCCCTTCTTCTCGCAGCATTAATAATCTTCTGTAAAGAATTCAGACTTATAATCTTTAGACACGATAAAAAATATATGTAGATCGTTTATCTTGTCATTTACGTGGAATGTGGATTTTTTTTATAACTTTATTACAAATTTCAATAAGAATCGAAGAATAATTTATGTATGCGTTTTGTTTAATAGAATGTAACATTGAATCAAATCATTAGATAATTGTCTTGAAAAGTAATTACATTAAGTGCAGTGTAAATGCACGGAAGTTTTTTTGGAAAAACTTTTTAATTTACAAGTCCTTTGCAATGCTTTTTGAGGATATTATAGTGTGGTTCACCAATATGCTTAGCAAAAACCATTGGCGAGTAAAGCCAAAGAGCCCGGGTTCGATTCCCGGCGGGGGTGTGACAACAGCAACGAATTTTTCCTCATTATCTCATTAACTTGAGGTTATTTATAGTGGATTAAAAAAGGAAATGGATTTTCACAAGGGTAAAGGTATATGTTATTAATAAAATTACAGATCTCCGGCGTATATATTGAAGATACCAGACAAAGGTGCTGGTATCATGAACATCTCCAGAAAAGGGATCCTGCCGTTTCAATTCAATTCTTGACATTATTAGCATTATGGTTTGTATCACCGTTTGCCATTAGTTGGTACAGATCAGGAATAAATAAACATCCATAAAATGAAATTAAGTTATTGTAGGGAATGACTAGATGGTGAAGGTAACGGGGCGCGAGTTTTAGATAAATGA